AAAAAATATATCATAACCGAACCGAACCGATCTAAAACCGAACCGAATAAACCGGAAAATATAACCGTTTGGTTATAAATTTATTATGCAAAAACCGAGCCGAACCGAACCGAAACCGAACTGAACCGAACCGATTAAATCAATATAACCGTTTGGGTATGATTTTTTTATAACCGAAATAACCGAACCCGAAATAACCGAACCGAAAACCGAACCGAAACCCGAAATGGCCACCCCTACAAAATTGGTAGTTTTACATCAAACAGAATAATTAAACAGTACTGTAACAATCAATCAATCTTTGGGGAAATCATGGGACGATCCCTTGATAACGACGAAAGGAAAATACAAAAAATCCAACAAGTTATCATTTCACGCGGAGACAAGTTGCCAAATGACAAGATTTTTGCTGTTTCCCTTTCAACGGCTGTCACGACATTTATGCTAATCCAAAATCTGTCCTCTTAATTAATGAAGCTTTTCAGAAATCACACGATTAATTATGCTGTGCTGTGAATATTCTTGCTGTTCCCACGTCATATAAAATCATTCATTGGCTATTTCATACCCTGAAATAATCATTTGTATTTCGACAAAACTCGAACCGTATTTGTTTCATTCGGACCAAATCATAAACCTGTTCAGACAACCATGGCAGGTACTGATCTGTCTTAGATTCGTTGACAAAATATTCGACCAAATTAACAGTGTAAGATCGTAAATTTGTCTACACGGCTAAAAAGGCGCATTTCATGAAATGGGCAAACATATAAAAGCCCATAATTCCGTACGGCACTGGTTGACTTATTTTAGGCATTTTTAATTTCTCGTGAACTGACTGAACATATATATGAGTGTGTGTTTGAGATTTGTATGAATTCGTTGACTTCAGTTGAATTATTGAAGTTTCTAGAATATGTTTAAGCGACGTCCGTTGGGGGAGACATCATCAATGGGTTCTCCATTTTACATCTCAATTATTTGGGCTTTGCCCTCAGCAAGCTACAGTCTCTCTCACATACAACTGCATGATGAATGCACATATACATATATATATATATATATATATATATATCTGTGCGTGTATATATATGTATATAAAAGGTATGCCTCTGGCCATTTACAATTGCAAGGCCTCATACATTGTTTTCAAGATGATGGTCCAAGCCAAAGGTGGTCATGTGAGTCGCATATTGCGTGAACACATCATGTGGCCCTTTGTACCTACCGTTGATAGATATGGGTACATGCATAAAGACCATTTTGGACAAAAACTTTTGATTCCAAAGTTAAATGTTAAAATGAAACTATATTAATAATTGTGTTTAATAACGGTCAGTCAAAATAATGTTAAAACGCTATTATCATTTGTTGAAACAACATTGATGTATTCATAATATATATATCACTGTTATTATCTTATATTACTATGTATGATAAAAAAAAATCAATTACTACTATGAACAAGATGAAATTTAGTGACTTTTATTTTGTTACAATTGGGGGATCTTATTCAATCACTTGCCGCTTAAAAGGGTTAAAGAAAGTTATCAACTGCAGCCATTACTCGTTAAAATTGAAAATATGGTGTTATAACCAAAGCTAAAAATCTCTGTTATGAGTTGCGGAGTAATCTACAAATAGAAAATCACCAGTAATAATAGTGTTGATAAAATATCAGACGTGACAAAAGTCCCACAAGTTGCCAAAGCTGACAAGTCCCCGTCACAACCCCATTCCCACCTCCAAAGAGGAGATTCCTCTCCATGTATCTTTACACAAACCCATCGATATCCTAAATTGGAAATCGAACAAACCAGAACCTGACTTTGTCTGAATCCACGAGTAACCAATAGGGGGAAAGGGAAGAGGGGAGGGGTTAACGAGAGAAGACGAGGCTACCCCTTAGGCTGAGGCTGAATCAGATACCCGACCCACATCTATCCCTAATCTCATCACCATTAAAATGATTAATTAATGGATCTCAGATATATACACAGTAGATATACACATTATTTTCTGAAAAATTTCAAAGCATATGTGAGGGACAGAAGAAGACGTGCGATCGGAAGTGAATAAGAAGATTCAGACAGGGAAGAAGAGCAGAGGAAGGTTGAGAACTGGAGGAAGGAAGCAGAAGATGCGGTTGTTTGTCCGTTGGTTTATACTCGTTGAATGTCATATTCAAACGAAGCTTAATCGCATATAAATAGCTAAACTTTTACAAAAGTTTTAAATAAATATTTAAATTATAAAATTCTTAAATAAATACCTGAATTTTTCAAAACTTTTATATAAATATCCAGACTTTTAAAAATTTACCAAATAAAACTAAAATTCATTAATGTCTTTTAATTTATAACGGAATCCAACGAAAATTAATGACTCAGTCATTTAACGTCGTCAACGAATGTTGTTTTATTTGACAAATTTGTAAAAATTTTGGTATTTATATAAGAGTTTTGAAAAGTTTAGATATTTATACGAGAGTTTTATAGTTCAAGTATTTATTTGAAAATTTTATAAGAATTCATGTATTTATATACAATTATCCCTTCAAACATCAACCAGCATTTTATATGACGATGCCTGTGTTACGGGGCCCTCCCAAAGTCTGATCACACTTGTGGAACACCCAAATGCAAATAGACATTGAAGAAGTGATATACACATGTCTGCTCTGCAGTTAGAGAATATTATTATGTTAATGTAGATCATGGAGCTTTATATCATTAACAAATTCCACCTATCCCCCTCATCAAAGAAGGGGGAAAAAAGAGCAACACGTTTTCTTTTGTAAAATGTACAAAGCGAAATATGTAAAAACAGCAGAAAGAGTCACACCTGTTTCTTATAATATGCAAATGCAATGCAATCAATCCTGAGGCTGGAAATATGGGTGTTGCAGCGCATCATCCACGCTCAGCCTGTCCTCCTGCGCATCAACTGTTTTATGTTTTCAACTTTTCAACCAAGATGGATGTAGTAACCAAATGGTGATTTATAGAATCTTAGTATGGAAAAAAGCCGAGCAAGACAGAACTTACTGGGTCCCACAGTAATAAATGCCTTACAAATCTTAGAGCCCAAACATTCGGAAACCTGCACAAATTCCTCTCAGCAGTGGATAATGATTGACGAGGCATTGATCTTTACTACGCCATCAAAGAGCAACTACAAACTAACCCGATCTTAAGAGGATCTCTACTCTTTATCTGCCGAGAGAAAAATTCTTCAGAGCATTTCCACGAAGCAAGTGAAATTCCACCCTACACCCGAAAATATGGCTTTTTGGCATAAAGACAGAAACCATCCGTGCTGTCTAAACAATGAATTCAAATACATTGTCCAACATGTTATTTAGCCTTATTCTATTATCACTGTTTTCCTTTTTTTTCAGAGGGTGTTCAGCAGTACTAGAGGCGTATGGTTTCCCAGGTTCTGACTTCCACTAATAAAGCAGGAACTGAACTCATAAGTGTTTCCAGGTGGGACGTGCAGGTATGTGGTTAGTGTAGATTCATTGAACTTAGACTAGAATTAGTTTGTGGTTGTTTTGCTATTGGTGTTGGTTAGTTAGTTAATATCTAGTTTCAGCAATCAATAGTTATAAATAGAGGTTAGAGGGATTAGAGGGGTTTTATGATTGTGTTTCGGTAAGGGTTTGTAAGGGAGAGAGTTGGGATCCTCTCTATGATCAAGATCATCCAGGGTTTGTGTTTGCGGTTTGAGAGATCAATAAAGGTGTCAAGTTTTCCGCTGGAAATCAGAGTTTCGGGTTTGGAAACCTAACATGAACCTCCAGATACCATTGCATTATAACCACTAAACGATAATGAAGTTGACTTTTCTGAGACAGATCCACTGCTAATGGCAATCACCATCAATATCAACATTGCTTTAATCCCACGTCTATCTGGGATCGGCCGCATGAATTCTTAATTTCTACTCATTTCCCTTTTGAGTTAATTCTTGCAAAATTTGTAAAAATTCCAAGTCATCCCTAATGATTCGTTTCCAAGTAAGCCTAGGTCTGCCCTTTCCTTTTCTCTTCACCCCCTTCTTATGTTCTCCACTTTTCTAACCGGAGCCTACGTTGTCCAAACATCTTATTCTCGTAACTTCTCTTCTATACCTATTATTCATATTTTCTCTCTAATAATCTCATTTCTAATTCTATCTATCCTTATTTGTCCGCACATCCATCGTAACTGCTAATGGCAATATAGCATATAAATTCCCATTTACCTGCTTTGAACTGGTCCCACCTCGTTTTAGAATGGATCCCAGCATCAAGATACATAGCTCCATTAGTGATCGCAGTCTGTCACCAAAATTGACATTCCACAAATCAGGGCTTGACCAACTTCTTGTGAGAAAGTCGGTCTCAAGTAAAATAATTTACGTGCAAACACAGTTGCTTCTAAAAATCAGACTTACTTGTATGCAAGCTCTTTCAAGTCATCACTCCAGCCCTCGATATGTTGATCTAAGAGGGCACGTGTTACAGATCTTATCTGAAAAACATTTGGCAAACCCAGGATCATCTCTAACATCACAACACCAACACGCCACATGTCATATCTGCCGGAGAAAAAAATGCTTATCATATGTATGTACACATAGAGCGGGCTGATTGATGTTCCTGGTTAAATTAAATTGGAGAAGTGATGCGTACTTCAATGTCATACTGGTCGGTCCTCGGTATCAACTAGTGTTCAGAATAGCTTCAAGAGGAGTATACTCGTGAGTTTGTTCAGCTCTGTATTGGGCAATCCAAATCATTGTGATTATTACATACAACAAAAGATGGGATTGCCAGAAAATAAAGTAAACATCAAATGCAAATACCTAGAAGGTCCCATGGAGCCATATAAATTCTTCATCGTGAATTCATCCAGGGAACTGCCAAAGTCAATGATGCGCCTAGACAGTGATAGCAAGAACAGTATTTATCAGGTAAAGCGCACAAAATCACACTGCCGCCAATTGATGGCATGATAGAAGGAATTTGGAAAGAGTATTACGTATCCACACTTTTTTATATACAATATACAAAAATTCAATCTATGGAATTTGATAAACTGAATGGTAATCATGATACACTTTGGTTTTGAAGTTCTGATCTCCATTTGCTACTTCTTTTAGGCATCTGCCTGTTTTCTGGTCTTCAAAGCAAATTACTATGTTTTCTAAAGAACATGCAACACAATCATTGTCAGTAAAATCCCCATGAGAATAACCATACGCAACAGACGGTGATTATTATATAAACTATGATGAGATCACAAAACTCTTACCAGGTTTGATATCCCTGTGAGTAATATTTCGATCATGGCAGGATTTGAGAGCCAACAACTGAAAAAACAAAGAGGCAGCCTATAAGAAAAATTGAAATGAAAAAGTATAGGTGTCTTACTATGAAACTTTTGGAAGGATGGCCAAAATTTATAACAATCTAACATTTTCGTATTCAATGTACCAACTGCCATATGATATTTCGCATTTCCTCTTTTCCTGAATCTGTTGTCTTCAACCATATCCACCACTTAGATGGGCGAAGCATCTGGATGTGTTTTGCTTCTTCAACCTTCTCACTAGAAGTTTCTGCTGAGTCCACAGTGTACATCAATTTCTCCATAAACTGGCATGGAAAGGCCACGCCCCATGAACATTGAATACACGGCCAGAGATTCCTTGACACTGATGATCTCTGGAAACGAAGCGAGGACATTACCTTTCAAAATTAAGCACATGTTGATGCGCGATTCTGTCCCAATTGATGGCGTGCAAAGACAGATCGTATTCTCCTCTATCAGGTAATCTTCCGGTCAACTTCTTAGAAACAAGAGAACACGTCCGCGTCCAAGAGAAAGCAGGTAAACTAAGGTCTCCGAAAGTTAAAATAGTTTCCCAACGATTCTAACTAAGCCTGTCGATACAGCAACAGCCAGATGAAGATACCTACCTAGCTCGTGAAAGGGAAAAATTCAGATTCCCTGGAGAGGATTTCAATTATCGACTGAGCATGCCGATAAGAAATCAGACAAGAGAAATAAAGCATACCGGGGAAGGGAATTCGAAGATCGAGAGCGCAGAGTAAGCGATCCTCCTGGTACTTCCTCCGGCCCTTCATAACCGCCGTCTCGCAAAGCCCGTTTCCGGGAGAGCGCGCGCGATCCTGGAGATTCCAGAGAGGGCATTTTGGGGATCGAAAAACCGCCAGAGGTCCCCCCTCCTTGTAAACAGTCAAACACGTCCGAGATTCTCCTCTACACTTAATCGCCCAGTAGAGGATGATGAGCATTGAACACAAAATATACTATGAACCCTAGATTTCTCGGACTCCGCACCCAACATCTTCCATCGATGCACCCAATTCTCCTCGCCTCTCTTTTGGGTTTTTTACTCAAATGAACCAATCGGCGTACACCACACAAAAAAAAAATAACATATTAATTTTTTTTTGAAAAAACAAAATTACAATATACGCGTTCGAAAACAACTTCCTTATTACTACTTCATAATTAATTCTAAATATAATTACAATTGATTCTAAAAAATGTGATAAAAAAATTATCTGTCTTATTTTAGTAGTATATCAGTTATATATTAGTCGTAATAAGGTAACAAAAAATAAAAAGAAAAGGGTATTTCGAATTTTTTTAACCGAAAAGTGGGTTAAAATTGAAAAAAAAAAATTTGTTTTTTTTCGGTGGTGTACGCTGAAATAGGTGCGCACCCAAATGGTCATTTGAGTAAAATTCCCCTCTTTTACCACAAAAAAAAAACTCCTCGCCTCTGTAATTCGTCCTTCTATAATTCGACGTCGGGAAAATTGGGCCCCAGCTTTAGACATCAATGGACCAATAACTCTCGAACACAAATCGGGCCAGGCCGAATTTTAGTGGGCCGAGTACTAATTTTAATTGAATATAAAGTAATATTCGTCTAGAATTAATACTCTTATAAAAAAATCTGACCAAGTCCATGGCTGAGAATTATACGTTTTGACATCCATGTGTTGAAATATTGATACAAAAATATTTAAACCCATCAATTTGAAGAGTTGATCCACGACAGTTATTGATACATGCGTCCTTCGAATTTTTGAATTATTGTTACTGTGTTTTTTTATAGTTAAGAGGTTCACTGAACCGAATCTTTTTAAAATCAAAGTCAATTTTTAATCACGTAATTAATTACGTTTCTTTTTTTTTTTCATTAGTGGAATCCAAGCAGGATTTTGAAGTCTCTCTGGACTACCAATTAGTGGTTAATTATTGTTGTTTTGTTGTAGATGAAATCATAAAGTCCCACAAATGAACTTGGAGAAAAGGGTCCCACGTCGGTTAAGTTGGTTTGTTAATGTACACGCGAACGCATGTTTGTACGTTCCGAGATGCACACGCGACATGTTCTTCGGAATATTATTCCAAATGTTCAATTTAAAATAGCTTTTAATTATAGCCGAATCCACTGACGAATAATACGCAATAGAAGCAAACGTGCAATTGTTGCTTGTCACAATTCATCAAACGAAACCACGTAATGAGCATGCATACATACTCCATCAAAATATTATTGCCACATAGTATTACTAAAGAATCATAGGCATACATATATGTATAGAATCAGGGGCAGTTTCGGAGGTGGCAGTGGCAATGGCCGGAGTTGGGAAGGCAGACTCCATAATCAGCGCCTTCGCCCTTGCAGAGGTCATCGCACACTTTCTTCCCCAAATTGTTGTACCAACAATTCCAGTTCGGCAGGTTCTTGCTTTCCCATTCACACCTCTTCCTCTCCTCCCCCTTTGTCGTCCCTTTTGGATTTGTTTATTAATTGTTGTTTATGGGTATTAATTAATCTCGTTTAGAACCAAAAACAAATTTGACATGCAAGAACAAAAGGCAATAGATGTGATCACCCGTGGAAGCCAGCAAGAGGAAGATGACGACCACCGCAGAGAAGCAGATGCTCTTAGCCATTGATTTTGCTTCTATCTCTTTTCCTTCTTCCCAATCTCATGAAACACGCACTGCACTTGCCCATTTATATAAGCTCATATTCGTTGACATTTGCCCCTTCTGTGTTATCCCAATAGAGAGAGAGAGAGAGAGAAGATTATCTAATGTTCGACTCGTTCGTCGACGTGCGGAACACACAACCCCTTAGTTTAATTTAATCTTTTTTTGTTATTACTATTGTTATTATGTGTTACAAATTCAAACCGCTTGCCAAGTCGTTCGAATTTGCACTCGTAAGGTAGTATTTCCATCGTTTTCCTCAGGCTGTCACTTTGAGAAAGTCGATTTTATGACGATAACCATTGTGGAAAATTCTGATTCTATCCTCTTTGATAACGTGTTTGACTGGATCGTTGTTCTTAGCATGTTGCGCGTGGTACAACCCATGTTCTGTATAGACATATGTATGCATACACTGACATTTATTCATGTATAAAACGTACGTATGCTCCATCTTTTGTGTTGGTTATCAATATTATACATTGGGGTTGATGATCCAAGACACGTGGAAAGCATTCCCCCAGGGAGTTGTTCTATATATTGATGGATTCCACAAGAGTTGGAGCTTTAAACACGACTTAGTTACCACCGCATATAAATTGCAAGGGAGATACTCTTTTTTTTTTGTTGTTGTTGTTGTTGCATATAGTGATAGTTCACTTGGAGGCAGCCTGAGGGATCAGATGGGCTGGCCACGAGGGACGATCTTATCCTTGATCCACATATAGAAGGAGACCAGCATGAACCATGCAGCCGCTAGGGTTCCCAATATGAACCTTCCCAGAAATGGCAGCGGTTTTTTCACGGGCTTGGACACATCCTCCTCCTTTGGACCCATCTGCATATCAACACAGGAAACCGTTTGTGGCCAAGTCTATGTTAGGATGGATTGGCCGATGAATAGAAAGGAATATACCTGGAGAGGGGAGTCGCCAGAGGCAGGCTTGAGGCCGGTGACAGAACATCCGATGATCAGTCCATGCCGGCGAACGCCACGGTACCACTGGGGGCCAATCCTCTTCAGCTTCACGTCCTCGAACCCTGCTTTCTCGAACCACTCTATGTACTCTTCCTCCTTTGGGAACAGCATCCACACGTCTGCAAAGAAGCGTGAGAGCCAGAACGTGGGGTGCACTGGTCCAATTATACACGCTTTCCCCCCCTGCTTTAATACCCTGTATGCCTCCCTGATTCCCCTCTGCGGATCTGGCCAATACTCAATACTATCCACCCCAGGACACCAGCATCAGTATCATGAGAGTGTGTATATATATATATATCTATCTTGAAAAAGAGCAAGAGAGGAAACCACACCTTCCGGCAGAAGTGTATCTGTCGGCGTAATCAGTAGGGAAA